TTGGTTCCACAGGAGAGGAGCCTGATAACTAAAAGATCTGCCTCCCATTCTACTTTTAGAAATTCTAGGAACCACTAGTAAACCTGCAGATTGAGAGCGAAGTGCTCTGTTAGGAACATAAGGAACAATCAGATCTCTGATATAAGATGGAGCTTGGCCATTTAAGGCTTTATATGTGAGAAGGAGGATTTTAAATTCTATTCTTGATTTAACAGGAAGCCAATGAAGAGAAGCCAGGATAGGCGAGATGAATGTATTATTTTGCTTGATACAGAGAGAGCATAGTAGGTAAAAATATAAGAGTGGGGTTTAACTCTGCACGATTCTATATATTCAGAAGAAAGTACTGTATTTACCTTCTGTCTCAGTTGTGCAAATGAAACCATTTACAAAGTGGAAAACAGTCCTAATTCCACATTCATCAGAGCCGGTGATACTTCAACATTGATAAACAGCATCTAGTGAGTGTAGTGCTTATAAAATGTTTATTAATGTAGCAAAATGCTCCTTTTCTCTTTAAACAATGAATTCCTCTTATCAGTACTGATGCTCACGTCAGTCATAAAAAAGGGCATACATATTGCATAGCACCAATGACACCAGACTAATAGTGTCCCTACCAAAGTTCAAATCAAACCTAAGCCCTTGGGTACCATCCTTCATTGCAGCGCCCTTTTTTTTTTATATCGTTTTTTAATCCAAGTAAGTTTTTCATAGTCTTTATCAGGACCTGGAGAGTCTTTGTACCACATGGTAATGTGTAGGTCATTCGGGTCCATGGACTGCTGTACAGTTCGAACAGACTGTCTTCCCTCCTGAAGCAGCGCTTCTCCGATGTTTAAAGGAGGTTTGTTGGGAAAGTCCAGAGTGTAATGGTAATGTGGGATGCCCAGCCTCTGTATAACCATGGTATTAATGGGTTTTCCCATTCGTTTTATCACAATCCCAGAGTCAGTGGGGATTAAGGCTAAGCAAAGCATGGCTAGAGCATCCCTGCCTATGAGGTTAACTGGACATTCAGGTAAAGTCAGTACAGACAGCCGGCAGGAGAGTCCTTCAGGGTCTCTCAACCACACAGGCTGGATCTCCTGCACAGCCTTTAAATGACCTTGAGCTGATCGGACTATGACAGTCACAGGTCCTTGGCCAGCACCTGGAATTTGTTGTTTAACAGTTGTTCTGCATGCACCACTGTCACACAGGAAAACTGTTGGGGTGCCATTCACATGTATAGTTAATACAACTATTCCTTATTTGTGCACATTAATTATGTTTTTGATAAAAATGCTTTGGCTAAAATGCCATCAGAACGCTGATAAATAGAGAGGAAAAAGGGACAAGAAGAGAGGGACAAAACCTAGAACAAATAATGGATGTCTACTCTATTAACATTTCTCTATCTGTAGAATGGGACTGTCTTATAGGTTTTCTTGTCAGGGGCCCCCCTGCCTGTCCATGCCTAGGGCCCCAAATTTCCTAAATCCGCCTCTGCCTATAGACCATCATGACAGGAAAAAAAAGGATTTTCAGCTGGCCCCTGACCCGCCAAAGGATTGGGCAGCTCGATTAAAGGAAACACCTCAGTGTCAGGTTTGGGTTCAGGGGCTGGCTGTGGGGAGATTAAGCCTCCCCCCATATCTTTTGACCAAGCCCCCACAGGTCCCCCAGAACGGGTAACCCTTGTGGAGGTGCTGGGCGTAGGAGAATAAGCCGGTGGATTCTCAACTTTAGGAGCTGGCAAGACTGGGGCTGAAGCAGAAGCAGCAGCAGCACCAAGTTCATTTGGGTCTTGCTATAAAGCTGCTTGTGCAGCTGCTTGTGCTTGCTGTAATAATGCTGATTATGGACCTACAGGTAAATCATCTTTACGATGGGTATGTGTGAGGGTATGGGTTCTTTTATTGTGGTTCTGCAGACTCCTGTATCACACAAAATTTAACAGGAGTGCCCTGGACCATCAGAAATATTTCTGGTCTATATTTTTCTTTAAAAAACAAAACAAACAAATCTTCTAGGTTTAAGACATCCATATTTTCTATATTATATTATAGAAAATATTATTATATATATATATATATATTATTATATATTATTATATTATATCCATATATCCATAAATTATATTATATCCATATTATCTCTAATAGAAAATGCCTGCTCATCTAGTCATGCTGAGCTTCCTATTTTTGTGGTTTACTTCGACAGTGTCTAGCTATGTGGCCTTTTTTTTTACATGACCAACACAATCTGGAATTATCAGTTGAGTGTGATCCAAAGCCTCTTCCCCTTACACGGCCTCGACCTCTGCCTCGGCCTCTACCTCTGGACTGCTGATAAAACACAGTGTCCTCTTCCTCCTGATAAAACACAGTGGATTCTTTATTGTTATTCTTTTTACTTTTTATGACTTTCTCTGCATGCAGGTTTGCATGTAACCTTCTTTTGCCATCATAGTGTCTTTATTTTTGTTTTTTGTTTTTATTTTTTGTTGCAATTCCTTTATGTTTGTGGTGCTCAATTTGCCATTAAAACCGTAGTTTTTTTTTTATCCAGTAACACAACGGTTCTACCGCCGCTGGGTCATCATTTTCAACTACTTTCCAATCTTTACACTGGAGTTCTTCTTATAACTTCTGTTTTTCTTTACTTTGCCCTTTTCCCATTTTGAACTAAATTTGGGCCCAGTGGGTTTTCAACACCTGTCGTGTTCTAAACACTGGGGCTTCAGACAAGATGGTGATCAACTACTTTTCGTGGTAAAACTCACTTCAACCTTCATAGGTGGAGTTTTCTTGTCTACAAACATCCACAAAAGCTCACCATTTAACCCTTGTCTTTTTGGTATGAAATACAGATATCTAGTGATATCTATATTTCCTTTCACACACACACACACACACACACACACACTCACACTGCGCAGTTAACTTTTACCGTTTACTTTATTTTAAACACAGAGGACGCCGCCGTCCTACACAGAATTTAACTAGTTTAAAACTAGGGGAGTCTGTCCTCCCGCGGACTTTAACTGTTTTAAAATTTCTGTTTTACCTGATAGAGTCTAGAATTGTCAGGGTTTTAGCACAACAGAGGACGCCGCCGTCCTACACAGAATTTAACTAGTTTAAAAACTAGGGGAGTCTGTCCTCCCGCGGACTTTAACTGTTTGCTGTTTTTCTCACACGGTTCTCACGCACTCCTCATAAAAAGGAAAAAACTACTCACAATTCTCTGCGTCCTTGGAATGCTTCAACCGTCGGACCCCAGCTTGTAAGGGAGAGACCAGTCCCGTAAAGGGTCTGTTTGCTGCGGCCGCAGGCTTATCTGGATCTCACTCACCTGCTGGGGGTCGTCGGGTATCTTGCAATCCGGCTCAAAGGACCAATTAATGTTAGGTTTAAACACCAAACACCTTATTCAACCTGCACAAAAGAAAGACACAGAGAATTGAGTATAATTTACTTGCAAGGAGAGGGGATCAGAAACTGCATTCAGTTACAATCTCCAACCCACTCTGAAGCAGTCTCTGCTCTCCAAGCTTTTTATTAAGGAACACCCTGGCTACAATGTGGTTCCGACTGCTAAAAGGGAGGGGGGGTGAACCCAGTCGGAACCAGAATTTCTGTATAACTTCATACAACATCATAAGATAAGGAGAGCTTCCACTCCTTATCCGGTGCTAGTGTGTACAGCTCCCTGTTTTCTCCAGCTTGTGACCTTCAGCATTCTTCTGCACAGACTTAGCAAAACATTAGTACACAGCAAGCAAGTAAAACGTTTCAACACTCTGTGTAAGTATAAATGTATAAGTATAATATGATTAAAGGAATATGATTAAAGTAGAATAACTTGTACAATTAATCCAACACTCTTATCTTGTTTTTGCCTTTGTTCTTCGACAGGAAGCCTTCCTGTGTTACTGGATACCTGGACCTTCTCCCCCTGGAAGGATTAACTGAGTACACACTGAGGAGGGAAAAACCTTCACATGATCCGTTCAAGTCCTCATTGGAACTCCAAGTGACACTCCACTCCTTTACTCCTGTGGGTCCAATGCATGTCTATCTGTCTGCGTTGGTAGTGACAGCCCTCTGCTGGTCTAAGTTTCCTCTTCTCTGGATAAACCCCCACAAGCTGGATTCAAGGATGAACAAGAGCCCCCTCAAACGTGAGTCCCTGTTCAACAATATTCAAGCCTCAGTCAATGTTCCTACGGTCCCTGAACTGATCACTGTGATCTCCCCTCCAAAATTTCCAGTTCTGGTTCACCAGTTCACTGAGTTCCAGATTCTACTTCTGTAATTCATTTACATTTAATAAACCTGCTTAACTTTTTCCCTTGGTCTCTGAGTGGTTCTCTGCATGTGGGTCAGATCGCTTAAACCAATCATGACATTGCAAAAGTAGAAAAAATGCTGTTTTGTTTTCTGTTTTTTTTTTTGAGAAATTAAGATTTTATTGATCTCTGTGTAATACATAATTCATAATAGATCAGGAAGCGTTTGCTTTGGGATGGAATACTTGTTTTTCTAAAACCATTCCTTTATTGTACATTTTGTAAACCTGTCTGCTATATTAACCATATGATGTGTTGAACTCAATCTGCTATTTTAGCAACTTTTGGTAGACACTTTTTTTTTTAAAAAGTAGGGAATTAATTGATAAAAAATATTTGAAATCTATAAATCAAAGTTTTCTGCCCAACAGCAATGATGAACTACTCAGCAGCATTCTATACCCAGTTATTGTAGCATCTTGGCAAGAGCTGTCAGTCTGGGAAAGGATCTGGTTATTATTCTAAATGGTAAAGGTTCACTTTTTTGGAACATTAAACTGACTAAAACCATACTAAAACCTTTTTAAGTGTTAGTCAACTTAAATTTACTAAAACTATCACATATCATAAGGACTAAAATGCGACTAAGATTAACAATAATTTTCATCCTGAAGACTAAGACTAAATCTAAGATGGCTGTCAAAAACAACACTGCTCTTATGACTCAACACAGAAACACTGAGGAACCAGGAAAGATGTAGAATCCAGGATAAAGAGGTTCAGTGATTGTTATGTTGAAGGTTAAAAGGTGGATCAGTGAGTCAGAGGAGACTTTGTAGAATGACAGAATGCCAGCAGGACAATCCACATACACTGCTACTCTGTTAGAGACAGCTGAGGGTGAGGGGGGGGGGTAAAGGAGATGATTTTTTTCTTCTTATTGTGCATCACAGAGTAACCTTTTTCATTGCAGCATCTCAGACTCCAGGAATGATTATTCCACCCAAATACACAGTCTCTACTATCTCCTTTCCTCTTGATTCGTCTGTTACTCACTGATATAAAAACATCTCCTCTCCACTCAACCTCCCAGTAACAGCGACCAGTCAGACCGTCACTACACAGCAGCTGAACCCAGTAGTCAAATCTGTCTGGATGATCAGGATATAATGTAAGGTCCTCCATACGTGTCACCTTCTTGTCTTCTTCAGATAGTTCCAGTTCTCTGTTCACTGTGTTTGTGTCGATTTTGAGCTGACAGGAATCTGATGTAGAGAACAAACACAATCCAGATTTAGTTATTGATCATTTATTGACACTTTGATGATTACTCCTGAATCAGTGAGGGATAATTTGAAGATGGTTGGATGTGAGCTGATTTGTTGTCTTGAATCAAATGAAAAAAAAAAAAAAAAACACTTACACTTCCTCAGACCTGGCTTCAACCATCTGACTCCATCAGGCTCTCTGAAAGGAGAAGGGGGATAAGACAAATAGTATCTTTCAGTAGGAAAACATGGACATTGTAATGGATCATATCAGATTCCACTCTGATATACTGCTGAAAAAACTGGATCCGGTCCTGGTCAATTGTTGGAGAAACCAACATGATGCAAATGACAACATGATGCAGCCTGTGCTGTCTATGAGCTGCTAACAATGAATTCTGCTGCATAAGGCTTATGCAGCAATTTCTCAACGTACTTGCCGTATGTCAACGTGTGAAAGTGTGTTTCAGCGTACTTCAGCATGGTCATAACTTACAAAATACAAAATATACCCTTAACTTGACCAACATACCAATGTTTTTGCTAGATTTTTCATACATCTAACATACACTGTCTAAATCGTGAAGGTGTGACAATAGCTTTAGTTACTGATCATATTGTCTGAAAAAGAAGGATGGTCAGAGCAAGTAAACTGATGGAGTGTTCTGTCCTCACTAAGCGTTGTTCCCCTGAACGTGGGCTCAGCTATACAGACAGCTAAACACTCTCCTTTTCAAACTACAAGGAACAGGCTGATATGTTGAGTTGGATGGTTTAATCAGGATAAAGTGTGAAACTGTTGACAAAATCAGAAATAAACAAAATATTGCATCAATACACAGAAACTTCTAAATATAAAATCAGTGCAAAAATGTACTTTTTAAATTTATGCATAATCTAAACATCACACAAATCAAATGATAAATTAACTTTAACAGCCATAACCTGCTCAGGTTTTACATTTGTCAGTTAAATTTAAACTACAGCTTCCTAAAACAAAATAACAATGCACACATGTTGTTTATATAAGAAGAAACAATATAACTTACAGATGATGCCGCTTTTAAGCAAGTTAGAACATGGATGGCAACAGATGAGCCCATGTGTGACTGCTCTTGGCTAGATTCTTAGAAACATGGCATTCAGAAGGAAGTGACATCTAGAACAGTGACCTCACATCCTGTCTAACTCAGGTTATCAAAATAGAATACACAAACCAGTCACTAGGGGGCACACAGCTGCATAAAGGAAAAGAACTGATTCCATCACATGGAGAGATGATTCAAATATACCAAATCAGGAGGGGAGAGGCCTGATGTTTACACCATCAAACCATTTTTATGCTGGTTGTCTGGAAACTCGGGAACCAGCAACCATCGTCTACTGAGAATTGAATCATGTAGCGTTTGTAGACTGGTTCTGGGTCTGAGTCCAGAAAGTTCTCTTGTCTTTGTCACTATTTGTGTGTTCCTGCTTTGTTCTTTAAAGTTAGGTGTATCTCTGGAGGCCATCTTGAGTCTGCAAACTTTACTGGAATTAGTGAGTGAAGGGTTTAGAAGGGGCTGCACTTTCATGATTTTGGAACTGATTACTGGCTTAACTACTCATTCCAATTCCCCTTTAACTCGGTCTCTCACTGCTCATCTGATCCACCTGCTCCTGCCTCTATTTAAGGTACTTGCATTCAGTCATAAAGGCCAGATTATTCAAATTCTATCTAGCCAGTGGTGTTATTGTTTCTTCATGTTTCTGATTTCCTGATGCTGTCCTGTTCTGCCTCTCAACCACTGAACCAGTGGTATCTCAGTCGTGAGAGTACTTTTAGCTTAAGCTTAGTGTTTTTGATTAACTCATCCTGTTCTGCTTCTCAGCCACTAGGCCTTTGCTAGGCCTGACATCAGACTGCTGGACCTCTGAACCTGCCTGTTCATGTTCTGATCTGTTTGCCTGACCGGCTTCGGACTTGTGGACCTCTGAGTCTTCACGTTCCTGTTCTGATCAGTTTGCCTGACCAGGTTGAAGCAGTTTGCACCACTGTTGCCTTGCAGTAAGAAGGTCCCACGTTCGGTTGCCAGCCCTGGGTCTTTCTACATGTAGTTTGCATCCTCTCCAGGAACTCCAGCTATTTCCATGGTTGCATGTCTTTTTGTGTCTCTCTGTGTTGCCCTACGACAGACTGGCAAATTGTAAAGCGGGGACCCTGCCTTTAACCCATAGACTGACGAATAGGCAAATAGGCACTGGGCCCACTACCACCCTGATGGAATAATCGGGCTGGTTTTAAGGATCCAAAAGAGTGAACGTTCTGTAAGTAGTTAAAAACTAGAGTGGCCAGGACAATGTTTGATCTTGGTCACCATGAGTCTAAATCAGTCAATGAAACAGATGATGAGCTAACTGCTGTCTGTTCCATCTGAGAAACTAACCAATCAGAAGGATTTACTAGAACATCCTCAACATAGCATTTCAATTACTTGATTTTGGGAAACAGAATACTATCAATGCAACTTATAAGCATTAGATGACTCTTTACCTGAATATTTCCAGTGTCCAGTTTGAACCAGAGAGGAACTTATCCCCTGAATCTTGGAGGTTGTTGTTTTGCAGGTCAACCTCTCTCAAACAGCAGGACTTGGACTTGAGAACTGATGACAGAACTTCACAAGTTCTTCCTGATAGGCCACAGGAGCTAAGTCTGAAAGACACAATGAAACAAGTGTAAGAAGAAGAAACAGATGTTTTTTTTGGCAGAAACACTTTGGGGGTGTGTTTGAAGGACCGGGTCTAACAGGTCTTGGTCCTTCAAAGGCCATGAAAATAAGAAGGCCACGAGAGTTGAGTTATAGATTCAAATAGTTCCAGCCTTCTCCAGCAGTCACTCAGCATATGCGTATGCTTTGTCGCCTAGCAACTGTGACAGTTAACTCACAAAGCAGACAAAGAATGAATGCAAATCTTCTTACTACTGTTCCGTGTGCTAATTTATTTTTTGAGGAGCTTCAGTTGCAGTACTGTTGTTGCAGATATTAGATTTGTAATGTCTGGTGGAGCCTCAGTAAAGGAAGTCTTTCATTTCCACCTTCAGGAGAGCTTCTTTCAGATTCAAAAGGAGGCTGGAGACATGAACCCTGAGTTGGCCATGTTCTCTGCCTTCATTGTGAATGCAGTGGTAGTTGTGCCCGAAAGGTCTGGAAGTCTGTCATGGCAGCAATCCCCAAATCCGGTGGTGGACAGCCTTACTGGCTTGTGGAACTCCTAAGACAGAAAGTAGGTATTGTGAGGCCAAGCTTGTCGCTGCCCAACTGCTGCAGAGGCATAAACTGTGGCCTGGCAAGAGTTTGGAGAGGCCATGGAGAAAGACTGTTGATTGGCCTCAAAGTGATTCTGGCAAACGATCTTGCACCTTACTACTTACTGCTGTTTTCAGTGTGAGTAGGGAGCTGCAGACCCTAAAAGAGGCAACATTGGACAGTGAAATGAATATTTTGAGGATGTCCTCTATCTGGCTGGCACTCCATTCATAATTGAAGGACAGACTAGCCTAGATGCCAGATTCATTCATCTTTCAGACAGAAGTCACTGAGGTGCTCCAAAAACTCCATAAAGGACAGTGGATGAGATCTACTATGAGTACCTTAGAGCTCTGGGTGTTATCAGGTTGTCCCCTACATAAGAAGGGGGACCAGAGGATGTTTCCCAAAGTATGTTTGGATTAGGTCCAACCCGTACTGTATAAATACTTTATGTACAGGATTTCTAGGTGCAGCCAGGGATAGAAGTTGGTCTGGTTCAGTTACCCGTGGATTTCGTCAATTCTTTTTGCTTACAAATACCAAAGACAAGACCTGGAAAAGGTGGCTTTAAGGTTAGAGGAGAGCTCCAGCCTTATATAGAGTGGTTCAAGTATGATGGGACATTCAGCAGAGACTTGGAGTAGAGCCAACTCTCCTCACTTTGAGAGGAGTTAGCTGAGGTGGCTCAGACATCATTTTTGGATACCCCTGGATTCCCCCTGTAGAGGTATTCCAGACACCTTTTAACAGGAGGATGCCCAGGGGACAACCAAGGGCACGCTGGAAAGACTATGTGTCTCGGCTGACCTGGGAGCAACTTGGGCATCCACTAACAGAGCTGAAGGAGCTCTCTGCGGAGAGGGAAATCTGGGAGCCTCTGCTATGTCTGCTACCCCTGCAACCTGGTCAGGGATAAAACAGAAGATGAATTGTAAGAATATGTAAACATATATTATTCGTTATGAGTACAATGAACCTGAGGACCTGTTAATTCCCTTATTTTTTAAACCTAGAGGTCCAACTAGTCTGTGTCCATCTCCACAGGTACACTGCTGCCTTTACCTCCGTAGATGATTGTGCTGCACATTTGAACATTTCCACATTCATCCTCCACTCGTGCTCACACTACACCAATGGAGTCAATTATTTTTACTCTTGATGGTGAAAACCTGGATTCAAACCTTGCTTTGTGTGAAAGATATTTATTGTTCAGAAGTCTTAGAAACGGCGGACCAACCTTTTCTGTTATGGCCTCTGAGCTTGGTCAGAACCACAGCAAACATGGAAGGTAAAAGTGGGAATGCTTTACTACTCTCAAGAAAGTGAGAAGTTTATATGACCTAGAACTCTGGCTACAAACAAATAAAAAAAAACTACAATGATGATGATAATTTCATACAATCTGTTAGGGTTCCAGTTTTTTCAGGGGTTGTTTTGTGTTCTTTTTTGTGTCTCCATCCATGCACCAGGCATCTTCCTGGTGTCACCTCCCACACCTGCAGCTCGTTTGGTCATTACCTCCGAGGAGTATATGAGCAGCGGACTGTCACCACCTCCTCGCCAGAGTGTTTGCCAGTATTGGGTCCTCTAGCCTTTTTGAGTTTAGTTGAGTCTAACCTGTTTGAGTTTTACATCTCTCTGAGTCCACAGTTCTAACCCTTTGTCTCTCTATGTGATCTCCGGCAGGACAATCACCTGATCCACTGGATAAGTCTGGTCCTTCAAGCCTTGGAAGGAATCTGCTAGTCTCACTTAGAAAAATGAATACATTCACCTGATCAGTTCACAGTCTTCTTCAGTAAGCTTGTGACAGTCTGCTCTCCTGCTCTTCTGGACCACTAACTGTCTGCCTGTTTACCCTCCAACAAAGTCATCTCCTTATCTGGAAAACCACCCAACAAACAGGAACCAAGGAGCACCCCCAACGACTACAGTGAGTCCATTCATGGCTATTTATCTGCATTGGCCTATTTTCCCTTGGACCTTGAACTCACCACTCTGATCTCCCCCCTAGAGTTTCCGGTTCCGGTTCAGCAGACCGATGGATTTCCCCCAAGCTGAGAAAACCCATGTTTAGTCTCTCTGAGAACCTTCTTTGTTTTGTCTCTCTGAGTGCCGCACCTAACAATAAACTGTTTAACCGTTTCCGTGCCTCTGAGTGGTGTTCTGCATGTGGGCTAACCTTTACAAACCCACAAGGACACAATCTACAGAATTTAGACTGTTTGGATCAAACAAGTAGTTACTTTGATTTTAGCAGATTTTGTTTCAGTTAAATAAATTATAGAAATACACAGCTATGTAACAGATTTCTATTAAAAGATCCAGATATTGACAAGCTGTATTAGCAGAGTTATATAAGTATAGCTCAGAGTCTTGTTTTTAATTTTGCTGTAACATTTTAGAATTGCATTATATAACTCAGAACACAGCAATAAGCCAGGAAGTTTCTTAGCTAATCAGCTGAAAATAAATAAAGAAAAATGACTATATTTGCAGTTACAGACTCAATTAATAACATATTACAGGATCCAGAGGGTATTAACAATGCCTTCCGAGATTTCTATAAATCTTTATACACATCACAGTTAAATTCATCAGGTAATGATATCAAGCGATTTCTGGATGAAATAACTCTTCCTAAATTATCAGAGTCAAAGAGTGACCCTGGACTCACCGCTGTCAACAGTTGAAGTCGAGGAAGCATTAAAAAGCATGCCAAATAATAATGCGCCAGGTCCAGACGGGTTCCCTACTGAGTTCTAAAAAGAGTTCTGGAACATTTTGGCCTCAATGTTCCACAGAATGCTGCAGGAAACTCAAGGTAATGGCAAATTTCCAGTTAATATATTAATTCTGCCACCATTAGTCTCCTGCTTAAGCCAGGCAAAGATCCTATGTTTCCGACCATCTATCGTTCCATATCCCTAATTAATGTGGATATTAAAATAATCTGTAAAGCTTTAGCAAAACGATTAGATAAAGTCACTCCTCTCATAATCCACCCAGATCAAACTGGTTTCATTAAAGGAAGGCAGGGACTGCTGCCGGTCCCTGGCCCCCGGGGCTATGGTGGAGCGACTGGTGGGGATCTCGGGGAACGGGGTTGCCTATTGGAGTCAGCGGGGGTGCTGGCTCCCTGGGAGTGCAGTAAGCACCTCAGTCCATTGCTCCCCATCCCCGAAATCCTCCTTCTGCCTGCTCCACCACACTGTCACACATTTAGGTTTTTGGGGAGCGGGTCGTTACTGGAGGGCCCCACCTTCTGATGACGTCCCCCACCCCAATTTTATTTTGCATTTTAGACACTTCCATCTACAACATTTTCACAACACATATTTATGTAGGGCATTTTTCTGGGGGTTGGGTTCCAAGAGCACCCGGGGGGGGCTTATTTCATGGGCCTCACCACGGTCTTCTCCCCCCACCCCCTCTCGCATTTAGACATTGAGGGTAATGGGTTGTCGATTGGGGGGGCGCTGGCATGGCTTTCTCCCGGAGGGGGGCTGGACTGTGCTGGATACCCCCTTTTGGTACTCCCAGTTTTAATTACACCTGAGAGCAACACGCAACAACACCACATTGAGCAGGCACAGGGAGGATTGGGGTCTTTCTCACACCCCTGTTCCTCAGCTACCACTTGGAGTCTGGGGCCTGGAGAAAGAGCAAGCCACCTGGTCTGTGGTCTTGGTGGGGGCTGCTGTGGGGCCTGGGTGGATCTCCACAACCACTATTGAGTATTTTTTCTTTGATTAAACTTTACATGCACAAGTGCACTTTCACAACCAACTACAGGTGTTTGGTTCCAGGTACCTAGAGATTCACTTCCATACAGAAAGCCCATATTCTTATCTTCACACAGAGTATATGACACAAATTACATTATATAACAATCCAACGGTCAATAAGTTCAGCACATAAACATTAAAGATACATTTAAGTATAAAACATGGATTGAAATGTCTCCTTGGCAGATGCTCAGACCTGAGAGTTTCCAGTTTGGAGTTTGGACTTTTCAGCCCAGACGACAGCAGCTCCACTCCAGAATCCTGCAGCATGTTGCAACTAAGATCCATCTCTTTCAGATTAGAGGACTGGGAGCTGAAAACTGAGGCCAAAATTTCACAGCTTCTCTCTAAGAGGTTACAGTCATTCAGTCTGAAAAGACACAGAGAGAAATGGTACGATATTCTGATGTATTAAATTAGTGATTAATAAAACAATCAGAATACTTAAAACAAAGGAAACTTAGAACTTTACAACCCAAATCAACCTCTTTTTGCTAGCAAATTGTATAATACAAAATGTCAAATGATAGGTTCATACCAACCTGATTCACAACTTTCTGCTATGACCATGCAGTAAGAGTGGAGCGGTGACCTCAGAAGTACAAAAATCATGCCTTTTTTATTAATATGACTAATTAGAGACTGGTAGTGATTTTGATGTATCTTGAAGAAATGTTACAGAGACCAGAAATGTAAATACAGTCAAAACAATGCCTTATTTAACCCCTTAAGCCCTCAGGATATTAGGAGCAAATTCCACCTACATACATAAGCAAGTACAGCTCCAACTATGAATTGGCAATACAATTGTTTGCATTTGTATAACAGAAAGGCATTATTGGAATTTTTCAGGAGGAACCACTATTTTAAATGTCAACATGTCTGATGTATAGGTGATTAAACAAAGAAAAAATAAATAAAAATATTTAGCCTTGCTAAAAATGTTTTCAAAATAAACATTGCAAAACACCTTCAACCCTCAGACTTTGTAGATCCATATCTTGACTATAACGCAAGCAAATTTGGACTGAATAAGTTGAAGCATGTTTGTTTCACAAAGACTTTAGTGAGAAGTGGCAGAAATGTGATTTTGGCACAGTGGTGCATATGTTACGTGAAATAGTTGCTCAATTATGCTCAACACCTCCTTGGAAAGGTTTGACCCTCTAGTTTCCAATGATGCCGGCCATTAGGAGGTTTGGCTAAAAATCAATATGTGCTGTTGCATTATTCCGGCAGAGTCAGAAGTGTCAGGTGGACTTTTAAAACAAATTTTAGTTGTTTAAACAGCTATAAAACAAACATTATTTGTAAATAAAATAATTTTGAAACATGTTTTGGAAGTTAAAGTCCCATTTTGAAAGGCATCTGTGTGACACACTATGTGACTGTGTTTTGGCCATTTCTATAAATAGATAAACATGAGCAGGTCTCAGATCAGCCCCGGTCAGGCTTAATTGAGGTTAATCAAAATATAATGTATAGAATATATATTTTTTTATTTTATTCCTTAAAAACAATGCCACTTTAAGCACTGTTGAAGTATTCATCGTCTTTGCTCTTGTGCAGACATCAGCCAGTTGCTGCCTCAGCCATAAGGAAGGAGGCAGAGGACTAATGAGCCTAAGAGCCACTATACTTGGTGAAACATCCAAGATCCATTAGTACATCACGGACAAGGTTCCAGATGACATCCTCAGTGAATGTCTCAGACAATGGGGAACAGAAGATGAGGTGCCAGAGACTCCGTCCACGGAGGAAAAGCCCCTACACGGGATATAATCAAAGTGGCAGATGTCAGGAAATCCTACCAATGGCTATACAAAGCTGGACTGAAGGACAGCACAGAGGCTTGTCATGGCTGCACAGGAGCAGGCCCTAAGCACCAGAGAAATAGAGGTCTAGATCTACCACACAAGACAAAACCCCAGTTGCGGACTGTGCAAAGAGGCACCAAAGACAATTCAGCACATAACTGAAGGGTGTAAGATGATGGCAGGGAAAGCTTAGATAGAGCACCATAACCAAGTGGCTGGAATAGTATACAGGAACATCTGGGCAGAGTATGGACTGGAAACCCCAAGCTCAAAGTGGGAAACACCTCCAAAGGTGATAGAGAATGACCAAACCAAGATCCTGTGGGACTTTCAGATACAGACGGACCGAATGGTGATGGCAAACCAAACGGACATTGAGGTGGTGGACAAAAAGCAGAGGAAAGCTGTTGTTGTTGCCATAGCGATACCAAGTGACTGCAACATTAGGAAAAAGGAACATGAGAAACTAGTGAAATACCACGGGCTCAGAGAAGAGCTGGAGAAAACCTGGAAGGTCAAGGCATCAGTGGTACCCATGGTTATTGGGGCCCTCTGGGCAGTGACCCCCAAACTGGAGGAGTGGTAACAGCAGATCCCTGGAAATACATCAGACATCTCGGTCCAGAAGAGTGCAGTTCTAGGAACAGCAAAGACACTGGCAGAACCTTCAAGCTCCCAGTCGGACCCAGAGGACCCGAGCTTGGAGGAAAAAGGGCGGGAAGACCATCCGCGATAGGTAAGGAAGAGTTTTTTTTTTTTTTTATATTAATGTTGCACTGATACTGATACCAGTATCGGGTGGCGCCATGATCCAGCACTAAAATAGTATCGGTACCAGTGAGTACCAACAAATAGGGCACCGATACCATTTAGAGAGCAAAAAGTGTATTCAACTATTGTCACTCATTCCAGGAAGGCAATAAAAAGTTGTACTGGATTCACTTTGTATTAGTCTTCTGCTTCACAAAGGTAGGCAGCAGCTTGACAAAACCATGATGGCAATTATTTTACATAGAAGTAGTATGCAGTTCTTCATATATACACACACACATCAATTTCAAACAGATGATATCGTTATGGTATCGGTATTGGCCAATACTGCACGGCATTATATATATATATATATATATATATATATATATATATATATATATATATATATATATATATATATATATATATATATATATTAGGGATGGAATGGTCCTTTCTACGTTAAGAGATGTCTAAACCATTTGGTTCGACTGTCTCGGTTCGGTTCGCGTGTGTTGCGTTCGGTGCATTTAAAGTGACCTACGATGACGGCAGAAAGAAAGTTGTGGATGCTGACAGCAACACGACCAACATGTCAGGCTAACCATCAATATAATAATACCAAATCTAACCGAACCGTGGATTTTGTGAACCGTTCAACCCTTAATATATATATAATATGGCACCATAATATGCAGAAATATGCAGAGCTCATATCTTGTTTGTCATTAATTAAAAGTAGAGTTTTTGAGCAAACCTCTTTTTCTTTATTCTACTCTAGCAATAACCATCCTATGTCAGGATAATTTCTGGATAAAAGCAAAAAACTTACATTTCGTGGCTCACTAAAAATATACTTTACGAGATCAAGAAGACCTCCTTTTTCAGCTGATAAAAGAGTCTTGAAATTGATTCTTGCCTTACTGTTTTGCCAAGTGAATTTAGAGATGAATTTTGTTTGTTAAACATGCACACTGTTTTACTTATAGGTAAAAGAGGGAAGTGTCCATCCTCGATGCATAAACCTTACCATTGAATGAAAGAGGAATAATCTCCATCTTGTTAGGTCCTATTTGATTTTTCCAATCAGTATATTATAGTTTGCCTGAAATAAATCTGTAGGATTTCCTTAAGCTTCAATTCTATGTACATAAAACCATTTCCAGTCCAGTAGTTAGAGAATTTCCCTGATATCATTATTGGTAAAAGAAGTCATTTTAGATTAGATTTTGACGAAAGATATGATTTATTTAAATTTAACATTTAAGTCACATACTTTACATGACCAAACCCTTAGATTTATATTTTGTTCTACTTGCATAAGAATTCAGACCTGAGAGTTTCCAGTTTACAGTTTGGACTCTTCAGTCCAAAAGACAGCAGCTCCACTCCAGAATCCTGCAGCTTGTTTGTACTCAGGTCCATCTTTCTCAGATTGGAAGACTGGGAGCTGAGAACTGAGGCGAGAACTTCACAGCTTCTTTCTAAGAGGTTACAGTTATTAAGTCTGAGGAGACAAAGATAGAAATGAAAAAATAAGGATTCTGATACATTTAAATGTAATAAACCAACTAACAACTAAAATACTTAAAAAGACAAGGTAACTATGTAACTATATATATTTTTTTTTATTTAACCTTTATTTTACCAGGAAGTCCCTTGAAATAAAATCTCTTTTTCAACGGAGACCTGGCCAAGAGGCAGGTCAAGGCACCTGCCTCTTGGCCAGGAAAGGAAAAGGCAAAATTATAAGTTGTGCAGTAATAAGCTGAGAAGGTTATGTCAATCTAATGCAGGTCAAAACCACAGAACAGAATAAATGTGGTTTAGCCTCATTGCTATATTATTTCATTGAAGTCTGAGTCAGGTGAGGGCAGTGGGAGGGAGCGTTTTGATCATGACCTAGATGACTGACAATCCTCACAGATATATTTCTGTAGCACATTTCACACTGATTTAGTTAGATTACATAAATAGAGCAAATTCTGTATAGTTCTAACAGATCATTAGAACTGTACATATAAAATGAAAAAAGTTTTAAAACAATTCTTTATTTATCCAGGAAGCTATTTTCAATAATAAAATAAAAGCTTTCTGTATGGGAAGAGAAATATCTTCAAACTTGGAAATAAAGTCCAGTTGATTGTATTTTTTTTTTTTTTTTTTTACTTTTTTTGGAATTACTATGACCAGAGACTGAGAATCTGCCAGTTTTCTGCACACCAAATCATGTTAAATAAATCAGATGCTACAAACATAGAATTATTAACTCTACCCTACCCAACTCTACAAATGATTGATTCAGTTAATCTCAGAGTTACTTTGTTAAAACGATCCCCTGTCACATGTGTTTGCAGGTTGCAAGTGTTTGGGTTTGCTTTCTTCATAATCAAGTAACTGCATGAGAAATGATAGGGTTCCCCAAAAGTGTTGTGATATTTTACCATAAAATTATGAATATTTTAAATAACTAGAACTGAGAGTTGTTGTTAATTAATAAGTCATTAAAATCGAGGCTAAAACCATTAGTGTTTAGTTTTTAGTTACATGATAATGAGGTGTTTACTAGCCTTTTACATAAAATATTGGACTCCTGGACTGACTGTTAGAATCCAGTTGTATTTCACCAATTCAATATTTGAGACTATGTTTCTCAGCCGAGTTATTATTGATTGATAAATCATTCACTGCATGAAAGAATATGGCTTAAAGCAATGGTACCTTTATTAGCTAATAATCCCTTTACAGTATTACTGAATCTAATAACTTTGCGAACACTAAATACTACTAAAAATAAGTAAATAAAAGGGAAAAAGGGGGTTTTTAAGAGTCTGTTCAAAAGTCTCTAAGGTAATTTCATGTTTTGAGGACTAATACATTCAAAGTCTCCTTTGGTGAATGACGCTGATAAAGACATATTAAATGCAATCATGTAGCGAAAAAGTGAACAACTCAGGAATGAATTAACATTTATTGACGCCAGAAAGAATAGGTAAGGTCAGCGCTGGTATGGGGTGGGTCAGCTATACAAAAGGGTTATAGGACACATATAATGCTACTATATGACTGGACATGAGGTAGCTTGAAGCTGGCGATGTTAGTCAGTCCAGCGTAGCAGCCTATCTTCTTTAAACAAAAGGGCCAAAACAATCAGTAACACAAAACCTTGTTTATTAAGTCGGCTAAGTGAGCACTAGCACTCAGTTTAAGCCCCTTACTTAAGAGCCATCAGCAATTATACCAGAAAGCTTCTTTCAAATAAAAACACAAAGCCATGCCAAAATATATATTCTACCTATTTCTCAACCAAGCACAGCACTTATTAAGAAACAGCAAACAGCAATTGCGCCCAGTTGTTCCATGGGCGGCTAATGGGTCAGAACTGAATAATTTTCACAAAACACTGTGTTGAACTTGGGTTGAAACTCAGGAAAAACAACAAATTATGTTCAGCTCCTGAATCGTAGGCAAGGGTGCAGTCTGGTTTAGCAAGCAAACACAGACTGTTCTCTGGAGGGCTTTTGAAGGCTATGTGGCATAGCTTTAAGCTGAGAGCTGGCATTTCTCAGCTCTCAGGACCTGCAGGCCAGAGGCTAAGAGAGATTTGAATGGAGTCAGCTGCTTAAGTAGACTTCATTGCAGGGATGTGATGACGGGGAGTCGCACCTGTTACATCACTGACATTTGAACTTCAACAGTAGTTTAGTGACAGCTTGGTGTCCTCTTTGTTTTAGTATCTCTTTTAAAAGTTGTTCCATATAACAGTGCATTACTCACTTAGTTCTTAACAGAAACATACCGCATCTCTTAACGTAGAAAGAAAAAGGGTATATTCAGTCACAATAAAGATAAACTGAACCTCCAAGACTGTAAAACTTTTCCTGGGAATGCTGTGGATAGCTTGGTTGAGTAATAATCTTGTAATTGAAAGGTTTTAGATTCTATTCTAGCTTACCCCTTTGACATGCCATTGATCCTTTGGGCAACACAATTAACTCCAAGTTGATTATGTGTGTGCATAGTGATGAGTCAAAATGTGCACATTAGAGATGGTGGATTGGGTGAACGAGGCAATGGTGTAAAACACTTTGATGGCTAAGTATCACTTGGAAAACACTTCATAAATGTTGTCCTTTTAAATTTGTATTTTATGATGTTCAACTAATAAAAACATCAATAATATTCAGACCTGAGAGTTTCCACTTCACAGTGTGGACTCATTAGTCCAGAAGATAGCGCCTCTATTCCAGAATCCTGCAGCTTGTTATTACTGAGGTCCATCTCTATCAGGTTAGAAGACTGGGAGCTGAGAACTGAGGCCAGACCTTCACAGCTTTTCTCTGAGAGGTTGCAGTCATTCAGCCTGAAGAGACACAGATAGAAATGCAAAACAGGGCCCTGTGTAGTGAATAAACAACCAGACTATTTAACCAGACAAATTATACTGCAGACCATTCATTCTAAATAAATTTTTTCACCAATAACCTCTATAAATACATCTCTTATAGTGCTGTCCACATATCCCAGAGGTTAATTTGATAATTTACTTCACTTCTGTTTAAATCTCCTTGTGTTTGAATTTATCTCTTCTGTGCTCTCTTAAGGTTTAGAAGTGGTTATTGCATCTGATAGTTGCTTTTGGTTAAGCATAAATTGTGACATCACCCATATAGATTGATGTCAGTTGTATTAACCTGCTGACTCACTCCTGCTAGAATCAATGGTTCACTGAGGGAAGTTTCTATAACTATTAGCCAAACACTCTTGAAACCAAGAAAAAATGTCTATACATAATAAGGTACACACCTATGCTGATATTTTCTTAATATCAATTGTTTTTTCAAGTTTTGTTTTTTTATTATTTTTATAGCCATTTCATAGCTCCAACATCTACAAACACAGATGTTGATGGTGGCTGCAGCACAGCTTATATTTAATGTTAGAGTGATAATTATAAAATTATTGTGTGGACATATGAAACATTGAAAGAAAGAAGATCCTACATTTCTATCCTGTGTTTCAACCAGAAGGGTCATAAACTTTTATGACCTCCTGTAGGTCATGAGGCAGAGTCACACGGTTGTGTGACTTCCATCCAGCCAGTTGGTCAATTTACACTATGTTATTACCTGCATCCTCCCAGATAATCATTACTGGGTTTTCTGTTTAAGACCTGCCCTATTATGTTGTAAACTGTTAATAAAAGGCTTTGCCATGAAGGGATCTGTGTGAGAAGGTGCTGGTTTCTGAGCCGACACCTTCTCTCCGCTTCTGCAGAGGCTGACGTCACAAAACCCTGTCTCTGTGTTGATTATTTCCTTTTAATCTTTTAAACTCACATTTCTCTGGATTAAAACCCAGCATTTAATTTAAGGAGGAATTCACACCCAAACAGGAAAAGACCAGATGAAAGTTCTATAACAAAAAACAAAACAAAAAAAGCATATAGTTAAGGGTGAAACTTAACAAATACTGCAAAATGGAAGAACAGAGGTACAATGCAGTAGATAATGAAACACAGTCACTGTGTTGTTAAACTTAAACCTATAGCATTATAATTATAGAAAATAATTTAAGATAAGGGGTGCTACTGCTACTGTTTGTGAGATGTACCTTGTTCACTTTATGTTTTGACTGCTGAGCAGCATGCTGTTAAAGCTATTTCCATCTGTATTAAGTTATTTTTTTCGTGATATCTCTGTAGTTAAGTAACTCTGTCCAGAAACACTATGAAATATAATACCTACAGCCGCACTGTTCTAGTGTTTGCTCCAAGCCATTAGTGCCACATTATTCAAGCCATAGGTGAGAGTTCTCTAGCATACCCAATTTATTTCTTGTGATAACCTGATCCTGAATAGTTTCTGCCCTTGGGCCTTTTGAGCTTTCCTGCCCCTGATCTGATGTATTTGCCTGGCCTGTCTTCGTACTTCCATTGGATTCTGACTGCTTATGAGCTTGGATCTGGATGTTGATCCCGGCATGGATTTCCTATTACTTCCCCTGGGCTAAGACTGAACTTCATAACCAGGTTAGTGACTCACCCGCTCGTTATCATCCTCCGTCAGAGTTACGTTGTCGCTAACCTGTGTTTTTCTCTCTAATGAAATTCCGGCCTTTTTTTTTTCTGCTGCTGAGTCGCAGATTAGTCAAGCAGTCAATAAGCACTACTATAAATCACTTCTGTCAATCTGCCTAAATGATGGGTCTCAGGTTCTGGTTTCTGACAAAAATTACATTCTTCCCATCTAGAGTAAACATTCTGAATGCCTGGAAATTAGGTTCAGATCTCCATAATCCTATTGGTACTGGTCAGCATTTGTATTATTTTGACTATGAAAAATGAATAAACCTGCTGTGAAATTAACCCCTGTTGGTATTTTATCTAGTGTATTGTTATGCTTTTTTTCTATTAAAAAGATTTTGGATAACTGTCAATCAAACATCAACATGTCTATTTTCTAATATAGCATTGGGTGTTATTCAGTATATCCAGGCTAAAACTGACTCTTTACTGGTTTCAACTGTTGTTCTTAAACCTTAATTCTCTCAGTACTTACAGATTTTTTTTTGAGGCTTTGGCCACTGGCAGGAGTCTGAGAAGAACTTCCTCTGAAGGGGAGTATTTTTTCAGGTCAAACACATCTAGATCTTCTCCTGATGTCACTAAGATGAAGGCCAGAGCTGACCACTGAGCAGGAGACAGTTTATCTGTGGAGAGACTTCCTGATCTCAGAGACTGTTGGATCTCCTGGACCAGAGAACGATCCTTCAGTTCATTCAGACAATGGAACAGGTTGATGGTTTTCTCTGCAGACAGATTCTCATTGATCTTCTTCTTGATGTATTGAACTATATCCTGATTACCTTCTGCACTAAGTTCTGTCTTCATCAGCAGACCATGAAGGAGAGTCTGATTAGTCCCAACTGAAAGACCTAGAAGGAATCGCAGGAACAAGTCCAGATGTCCATTTGGGCTCTTTAAGGCATTATCCAAAACACTCTGGTGGTGATACTTTAGATTTTGGTTGCTCAAAAGCTTAGACATAACTGAAAGTTTTATTAGATCTTGATTTGCAGAGCTGATCTTCGTCTGATGATAATGAAGAGCAGCCAGAAACTCCTGAACACTGAGATGGACGAAGCAGAACACCTTGTCCTGGTTCTGATACAGTCCTCTCTCCTCTCTAAAGATCTGTGTGAACACTCCTGAGTAAACTGAGGCTGCTGTGATATTGAAGCCACACTCATGCAGGTCTGATTCATAGAAGATCAGGTTTCCTTTCTCCAGCTGATCTAAAGCCAGTTTCCCTAATGACTCAATCATCTCCCTATTCTTTGGACTCCAGTGTGGATCTGTCTCAGCTCCTCCATCATACTTGACCAACTTCACTTTGGCCTGAACCACCAGGAAATGGATATACATCTCAGTCAGGGTGCTGGGCATCTCTCCTCCCTCTTTGTTCTCCAACACATCCTCCAGAACCGTAGCAGTGATCCAGCAGAAGACTGGAATGTGACACATTATCTGGATGCTTCTAGATCTATTGATGTGGGAGATGATCCTGCTGGCCTGCTCCTCATCTCTGAATCTCTTCCTGAAGTACTCATCCTTCTGTGGGTCATTGAACCCTCTGACCTCTGTCACCATGCCAACACACTGAGGAGGGATCTGATTGGCTGCTGCAGGTCGTGTGGTTATCCAGAGGAGAGCAGAGGAAAGCAGTTTCCCCCTGATGAGGTTTGTCAGCAGAACATCCACTGAGGTGGACTCTGTAACATCAGTCAGGATCTCCTTGTTCTGGAAGTCCAGAGGAAGTCGACTCTCATCCAGACCATCAAAGATGAACAGAACCTGGAAGTGATCAAAGCTGGAGATTCTTTTGGTTTCAGTGAAGAAGTGATGAACAAGTTCCACCAAGCTGAACTTTTTCTCTTTCAGCACATTCAGCTCTCTGAAGGTGAATGGAAATATGAACTGGATGTTCTGGTGGGCTTTGCCTTCAGCCCAGTCCAGAGTGAACTTCTTTGTCAAGACTGTTTTCCCAATGCCAGCTACTCCCTTTGTCATCACTGTTCTGATTGGATGATCTCTTCCAGGTAGCACTTTAAAGATGTCTTCTTGTCTGATTGTTCTATCTGCACCACGTGGTTTCCTGGACGCTATTTCAATCTGTCTGACCTCATGTTCATCATTGACCATTCCAGTCCCCCCCTCTGTGATGTAGAGCTCTGTGTAGATCTGATTCAGAAGCGTTGGATTTCCTGGTTTAGCGATCCCCTCAAACACACACTGGAACTTCTTTTTCAGTCTGGATTTTAGTTTATCATGACAAATTAAGGAAAAAAGCCCTTTAGGATGAAAAAATATCAGCATTAGAAAAATTTCTTCTGACTGCAATTCATTTAATAATTTATCTATAAGATTAAATTAATGTTGTAAGGCCCTTACTGCTCTGTAGACAGTCAGCTAGCCCCTTCTGATTTATCCACCTCAGGACAGTCAGAGTGATTTTTATAAAAGCTTCTTTGGTGTTCCTCTCCTGCACTTCATCATCACCTTCCAACCACTTCTCACCCTCCCAATGATTCACTAAGTTTTCTGGGTTATCTGCTCTCAGAATCGTCCAGATCCTCTTCAGCTCGTGCTTCACAAAACTAATAATGGTGTTCTCCAGCAACTGAAACAGAATATATAAAAGACAGAGATCATGGCACAAAACATCAGATCCATATTGAACAACTTGACAGTCCTCCGGTATATAAAGTGTAGCATGTTAAGAGAACCTTTGTACAGACCTGAAATATGGAGTCCAGGTCGGTTTTATTTTGCTCTTCACGTGGATCCTTGTGTGCTTCTGAGTTCTGCTGGTCCAGCCTATGAGGGAACCAGGGAAAACATAACTCAAATCAGGTAAAACAACAAACAAAAGATTAAGGTCCATGTGGTGTCCTGCTCCAGAATATATGTTTTTCGCCTATTCAGGTACACCTGTCCATGAAGTAGAAGTCTCTACCTGAGCAGAGATTGAGATTATGATGTTCAGAATCACGTTAAAAAGAAGTAACAATAAAGTAAATAAATTCAGTATAATATTTAAAACAATACATACCACACTAACTAAAAATATCTGATTTAAATAAAATAAAGATAAAACATTAGAAAGATTATTTTCTATTCTGACATTGTTCTACCCCCCTAAAATTTCTATAAAAAACTTAATTTTCATTAAGCTGCACAGCTCCAGCTCCTGATTTTGTTCATATAAAATATTAATGTTAGCAATCCCTAAAACATTAGTAGAAATAAAATTTTGCATTTATTTTTGTTGGGAATGCATATGACAGAACTATTAAAAATACTATAATTTTGATAAAAATGGAAAAAAGAATATAAAGGAACCCTGTGGTTGACTGAATGATCTGTTTGAACTGTAAAGTGCCTTGAGATGACATGTGTTGTGAATTTGGCGCTATTTAAATAAACTGAATTGAATTGAATTGGTACATTACATATATATATATATATATATATATATATATATATATATATATATATATATATATATATATATATATATATATATATATATATATATATATACGTATATATATGACTGTATATTTACAGTTCTAACATTCTTTATTCTTTGTTATAATAAGCATATAATAGCCAATAATTACACTATAGATCATTGTAGTGCCCCAAAACGTATAGCACACATAGATAACCTCATCTTGTTCATAATACAACTCTTACTTTGGGAAAATGGGCTAAACTCTATTTTTTTTAGATTTTTTGCATTATTATAAGCAGGCCAGGTGTGCAACCTCTGCAACAGGAACCACAGCACTGAGCGTTGTGTTCACTGCACAAAGTACACTCACCGGCCACTTTATTAGGTACCCCATGCTAGTAATGGGTTGGACCCCCTTTTGCCTTCAGAACTGCCTCAATTCTTCGTGGCATAGATTCAACAAGGTGCTGGAAGCATTCCTCAGGGAGTTTGGTCCATATTGACAGGATGGCATCACACAGTTGCCGCAGATTGCCTGAACATCCATGATACGAAACTCCCGTTCCACCACATCCCAAAGATGCTCTATTGGATTGAGATCTGGTGACTGTGGAGGCCATTTGAGTACAGTGAACTCATTGTCATGTTCAAGAAACCAGTCTGAGATGATTCCAGCTTTATGACATGGCGCATTATCCTGCTGAAAGTAGCCATCAGAAGTTGGGTACATTGTGGTCATAAAGGGATGGACATGGTCAGCAACAATGCTCAGGTAGGCTGTGGCGTTGCAACGATGCTTAATTGGTACCAAGGGGCCAAAAGAGTGCCAAGAAAATATTCCCTACACCATGACACCACCACCAGCAGCCTGAACCGTTGATACAAGGCAGGATGGATCCATGCTTTCATGTTGTAAACGCCAAATTCTGACCCTACCATCCGAATGTTGCAGCAGAAATCGAGACTCATCAGACCAGGCAACGTTTTTCCAATCTTCTATTGTCCAATTTCGATGAGCTTGTGCAAATTGTAGCCTCAGTTTCCTGTTCTTAGCTGAAAGGAGTGGCACCGGTGTGGTCTTCTGCTGCTGTAGCCATCTGCCTCAAAGTTCCACGTACTGTGCATTCAGAGATGCTCTTCTGCCCACCTCGGTTGTAACGGGTGGTTATTTGAGTCACTGTTGCCCTTCTATCAGCTCCATCCAGTCTGGCCATTCTCCTCTGACCTCTGGCATCAACAAGGCATTTCTACCCACAGAACTGCCGCACACTGGATGTTTTTTCTTTTTCGGACCATTCTCTGTAAACCCTAGAGATGGTTGTGCGTGAAAATCCAAGTAGATCAGCAGTTTCTGAAATACTCAGACCAGCCCTTCTGGCACCAACAATCATGCCACGTTCAAAGTCACTCAGATCACCTTTCTTCCCCATACTGATCGGTTTGAACTGCAGGAGATTGTCTTGACCATGTCTATGTTGGGATCTGGAGATCTGTCCACCTTTCTCCAGCAGAGGGCGCCCTAGGTCTCTGAGAGCTGAAGCTGACTACCACACCTGTGGCTGATTTGCTCATCAGGGAGGAGCAGTATATAAGCAGCAGCAAGACTACTCTTCAGCGCCAGAGTGTTGTACCAGTTACGGTTAGCAAGCCTGAGCCAACCTGCCTGTCTGACTCTCTGACTCCCTTGAAAGCCTGACCAGATTCTAATCTGTTTTGTCCTCTCTGCTTCCTAGGAAAAACTTGACTGCAACCTGGAGCTCTGGAAGAGCCTCCCCACCGAGAACCTGCCTGCCTGCCTCTCAGTAAACAAACCTGAAGATCAAACTGTCTGACTCAGCCTGCCAGCCTTCAAGTAGGAAACTTGGAGGAACTCAGAACACAAACAAGCCTAAGTCAAGTCCTGCTGCTGCCTAGCTCTCTGCTGCCACTCTGTCTCCAGACCCTCCTGGTTCCCTCCCTCTGCCATTCAGCCTGAACCTCAGAACAGGTACAGACCTGCACAATACTCAGACTCAAGATCGCTAGCTTCCTGGCTAACCTAACTATCCCTCTCTGCAGAAGAACCCTGTGAAACCTGTCCCGGACCAGATTCCAGTTTCTGACAATAACCTTGTGCTTTCATTTAATAAACTGTTTAAAGTTTTACTCTGACTCCGTAGTGTGTTCTGCATGTGGGTTAGATCCCTAAACCCAAACATGACAGAACACTCTGGCCAACAACCTAACCCAGCAGTTCACCTCCGGAGGCTGATTAAGGAGCAAGCTGCTCTCATTCGTGGACATGATTCGACCCTCCGTGAGTTAACTACACGTTTGGATCAACAGACTCAAACACTTCAAAATTTTGCTGGCTATCTGGGTAATGCTAACGCAGAACCAGCTCAACTTCCTGTTCCGGAGCCAAGCCCGGCTCTAAGGTCAGAACCTGTTCCGTCACATCCTGAATTCCGTCTGTCACTTCCGGAGAAGTTCTCAGGTATTACGACCAAATGCAAAGGATTTCTATTTCAGTGTAAACACATTTTTGAACACTCTCCTTTCTGCTTCTCCGATGATAAGAGAAAAATTAGTTAGATCCAAGAACATCAAGCCTGACTCTCTTTCTCGTCTTTACTCATCTGAAAAGCCTGAAACACCTGAACCTGTTCTTCCTGCCAGTTGCACGGTGGGAGCCGTTTCCTGGGAGATCACCGACCTGATTAATCTTGCCCAAGCCTCTGAACCTGACCCAGGAAATGGACCACCACCAAACCGTACGTACGTACCCACCTCTGTAAGATCTAGGCTCATACACTGGATGCACTCTGCAAAATTTTCAGCCCATCCAGGAATCAGCAGAACCATAGCCCTCATCACCCGGCGTTTCTGGTGGCCGTCCCTTCATAAGGACGTGAAGGAATATGTGCTGGCCTGTCCCATCTGTGCCAGAAACAAGCCGTCTCATCAACCTCCATCCGGTGTGCTTCATCCTCTGCCTGTTCCGCCACGTCCCTGGTCCCACATTGGGGTGGATTTTGTAACCGGTCTTCCTGCCTCAAGGGGTATGACTACTATTCTTACCATCATTGATCTGACAATAACTATTGCTTTCATTTAATAAACTGTTTAAACTTTTACTCTGACTCCGTAGTGTGTTCTGCATGTGGGTTAGATCCCTAAACCCAAACATGACAATCTACATGCCTAAATGCACTGAGTTGTCGCCATGTGATTGGCTGCTTAGAAATTAAGTGTTAACGAGCAGTTGGACAGTTGTACCTAATAAAGTGGCCGGAGTGTATACCTGTCACAAATGCAGGAAGGACTCACCTTGGGTTTGTAAAAACTGCTACCAATTGTAGCTTAATATGTAGTGCTTTTCCTTGGGTGGAATAAGTGTTACTCCAAAACTGAAATCATACTGTATTTAATTCTCTAAGCTGAAATGTTGAATGACAAGAAAAGGTGAGAACAGACAAAATACTATCATTCTCTAAGTTGTTCTTTCTTTCACATAGTGATCTTTGCAATATAAATGAGTCTGTTGGTGAATGGACAATATTAATAGGTTCTGCCTTGCCTTGTTGGAAAAGCATGGCTATGACCTGTTCTCAGCTCAGGAACTAGGACCCGTATGATATCTGGTTGTTCAATAGGTTTGCCTAAATACAAGATTTAGATATGACTTATTAGCATATCCCTGCAAAAAGGTCTGAAGTTGCAGGGGCAGGTAATGAAAAGTGTTTGGAGCATGCTCTTGTTCTGATGCCAGTTTGTTTCAGCCTTTATCCAGTCTCATGCAGAAGGGCTGGTCACATCACAGGTTATTTGCATTAGAACAAGGACACTTAGCAAGGTAGAGTGAATATACAAACTTGAAGAGGGAAGGGGGGCTTGCAGGAAAACTGGAATTCTCTGGGACATCTAGTGTTAACTCCCCTCTGACCTGGGGTCCTGGATCCTCCTTGCCAGAGCAGTGGTTTTGTACCTTGTCAATCTCAAGTTGCCAAAGCAGTTGTTTACAGCTGTTAGAACATTGAGTTACGAGTTCTTTTGCCATGATTGTAGACTGTGGGTTTCGAAGTCTCCATTTCTCTCACATCCTTTGCATATAGCCTCTCTGACAAGGACTACTTAAGTGCCATTCTTGCATCTTGTCCATTTCCTGCTTGTTGTTCCAGTTGTTGTTCCAGTAGCCCACTTGACATCAAGGTGCTCTGTTCTCCAAAACCTGATGCAGACTTTATTTGGCTTCGCCACGTCTGCTCTGTAAAGCTCTGTATGTCGAATGAACAGATTTTCCAGTGGCAACTCTAATTTTTTAAACCAACCTGTCTCCTAATTTTTATTTAAACAGCGAACTAGCTGCTGTTTAATATTCCTCTTAGTGGTGCTGTGTGTCTCTCCTCCTAACCACGTAGCTACATTGTATGCAGTGAAATAAGACCGCAAATCAGATGTCTCAAAGTGACAAATCCGATGATGTTACACAGAGTTTTCCTCTCTCCAGCTGCTCCCGGGACACGGGAGCAGCTGGAGAGAGGAAAACTTTGTATGAAATGAGGATAGAGGGATCCGGTATTGAATGTGAGACAAACAGTGAAAGTTCGAAATGTGTATTAAATGGTAAATGGCCTGTACTTACACTACATTCAGTCATGCACCCATTCACACACACACACTGATGTTGGCAAGCTACATTGTAAACACAGCTGCCCTGGGGCTCACTGACAGAAGTGAGGCTGCCGTACGGGGCTTGAACTGTCAATCCTGCGATTTCAGGGCCAACTCCTACACCCAACGCCACTGTCACCCTTTTTTTTATTTATATTTCTTTTTATTCAGTGTCCTGTCTGGCAATGTGGCAATAAGAATAATTGTCTTGATGCCAAAAAGAGCCCAACAGATTTTACTTTCACAAGTGTAGCAGTATGGCAATTGCCATATTGCTCCACTTGTTTCATGCATATAAATTGCTTTTTTATAATTATGCAGGGAGCTTTACAGTTTATATGGACACTGCAATGTAAGTAGAGCAGAAAAACAGAAGAAGAAAAGGAAAAAAAAGAGAAAAGATGAAAGAAGGAAGAGATAGAAAGGAGACAATGACAAAAAAATTTCAGTCTGCTTCATCACCTGTAACGAGATGAAAAAAGAACAGCACAACCAAAAGACATGGTACGAGACATATAATAAAGCAACACCTTGAAACTATCGCTAAAGTAATATTATTAAGTCTGGCATGTACTCTGTGTTACCTGATGATATGAATGTGGGCTTTCTGTAAGGAAGTGAATCTCTGAGTACCTGGAGCCAAGCACCTTTAGTTCTTTGTGAGGGTGAACTTGTGCATGTAAAGTTTATTCATAGAGAAAATGCTCAATAGTGGTTGTGAAGAGCTGAAGAGGAACACCCCCCCAGAGCACTGAGTCCAGCGTCGGGAGACCCAAAGCCCCAGGCGCCCAAAGGGTCCCCAAAAACGAAGGCACCAAGGAGGGGTGAGCCCCGGTGCCAGCCAGCGGAGGGGCAGGACAGGGGGATACTAATGCCGTTACCTTTGTTTAGTTACGAGTAATCAAAATTATTACTCCAACTGTAACTATAACGCAGTTACCATTGCCGACACCCCGTTACTGCACGTTACACGTGCGCACCTTGTCATGAGAAAGGAGAGGATGGAGAGCGAGGAGGACTCCAGCTACAAAACAGCGTTTTCCAGATAGAAATACTGGTGTTACGTCGAGCTGCGTTTCCCCATCAGATACGGTTTCCCCTGCATCTCCGCACAGCGCAGGCGGCACGATTCAGGAAACGCGCATGCTTGCTAAAGGCGCGTAACAGGTGCCCTGTGCTCGCGCCACAGGGGAACTACGGAGAGCGTGAACGATCAAATGTTAGCCTCTATGGAGAAAGGGAGAAATCTGGATGGATGGATGGATGGATGGATGGATGGATGGATGGATGGATGGATGGATGGATGGATGGATGGATGGATGGATGGATGGATGGATGGATGGATGGATGGATGGATGGATGGATGGATGGATGGATGGATGGATGGATAGATAGATAGATAGATAGATAGATAGATAGATAGATAGATAGATAGATAGATAGATAGATAGATAGATAGACGTTGCAGTATCTATAACAACCCGACAGCTCTGATTGCTGATCAAGCTCTGCACTGGTGGCAGCATGATGCTGCAGCTTCCCTCTCATCAGAGAACGTTCCTGGAGCTGGTTGGACGTCCTGAAGCTTCTTTTCTGCAGCTGAACTTCTCAGCTTAAAGTTCAGTCTGACTTAGTTTCCATCTATCAGAGGTTGATGATGTTTAAACATGATTATAGCAGCTAGTAACAGATGACTCACCTTGGATCTGCTGCTCCAGGATCATTACTGAATACAGGAGGATGATCTTTGGACCGGTCACTCTTCATAGAAACACAGCTGGGTGATGGAGACTCTGCTCTGTTCTCCTCTGTGTTCCTCCAGATGTTCCTCTGTGGGTTCCAGCCTGAAGCCCATCTAAGAAGGAAACAAAAACCCTTAGTTAACATGACCCGGAAATTATAGTGTATGATTTTTTTTTAAACTATTTATTTGTAAGACACAGCTGCAAATAAATATGCAAAGACCTGAGAAAGTCAAAGTTAATATTTGGTACAGTAGCCTTTCTTTGCAATTCCAGAGGTCAGATGTTTCCTGTAGTTTTTCACCAGGTTTGAACACACTGCAGGAGGGATTTTGGCCCACTCCTCCACACTGATATTCTCTAGATCACTCAGATTTCTGGGCTTTGGCTGAGAAACACAGAGTTTGGCTCCCTCCAAAGATTCTCTATTGGGTTTAGGTCTGGAGATTGGATAGGCCACCCTAGAACCTTGATAAGCTTCTTCCAGAGCCACTCCTTGGTTATCCTGGCTGTGTCTCATCTGACTACATGACTTTCTCCCATGACTCCTCTGGATCATCCAGATGGTCCTTGGCAAACTGAAGACGGGCCTTGACCAGTGCTGGTTTAAGCAGGGGAACCTTCCTACCATGCATGATTTCAAACAATGACATCTGGGTGTATTACCAACAGTAACCATGGAAACGGTGGTTCCAGCTCTTGTCAGGTCATTGATCAGCTCCTTCCATGCAGTTCTGGGCTGATTTCTCACCTTTCTAAGGATCACTGAGGCCCCACCAGGTGAGATCCTGCATGGAGCCCCATTCTGAGGGAGATTGACAGTCATGTTTAGCTTCTTCCATTTTCTAATGATTGCTCCTACAGTGGACCTTTTTTCTCCAAGCTGCTTGGTAATTTCCCCGTAGCCCTTTCCAGCCATGTGGAGGTTTACAGTTTAGTCTCTAGTGTCTATGGACAGCTCTTTGGTCTTGGCCATGTTAGTAGTTGGATTCTTACTGATTCTATGGGGTGGACAGGTGTCTTTAAGCAGCTAATGACCTCAAACAGGTGCATCAGTGCAGGATAATAAATGGAGTGGAGGTGGACATTTTGAAGGCAGACTAACAGGTCTTTGAGGGTCAGAATTCTAGCTGATAGATGTTCAGATACTTATGTGCAGCTGTATCATACAAATTAATAGTTAAAAAAAACATGTATTGTGATTTCGAGAGTATGTCTCACACAGTGGACATGTACCTACAAAGACAATTTCAGAGCCCTCCATGATTTTTAAATAGGAGAACTTGTAAAATAGCAGGGTGTTCAAATACTTATAGTCCTCATTGGTACGTAATGATTATGTTTCAAGTTCTATTTTCATTTTAATGCTATTTGCAGCTTTTTTTTTTCTTTTACAGTGTCCTGTCTGGCAATGTGGCAATAAGAATAATTGTGTTGATGCCAAAAAGAGCCCAACAGATTTTACTTTCACAAGTGTAGCAGTATGGCAATTGCCATATTGCTCCACTTGTTTCATACATATAAATTGCTTTATTATGATTATGCAGGTAATTTCACAGTTTATATGGACATTGCAATGTAAATAGAGCAGAAAAACAGAAGAAAAGGAAAAAAAGAAAATAAAAAAGAGAAAAGATGATAGAAAGAAGAGATAGAAAGGAGATAATGACAAAACATTTTCAGTCTGCTTCATCACCTGTAACGAGATGAAAAAAGAACAGCACAACCGAAAGACATGGTACGAGACATATAATAAAGCAACAGCCTTGAAACTATCGCTAAAGTAGTATTATTAAGTCTGACATGTACTCTGTGTTACCTGAAGATATGAATGTGGGGTTTCTGTTTGGAAGTGAATCTCTAAGTACCTGGAGCCTAGCACCTGTAGTTGTTTGTGAGGGTGAACTTGTGCATGTAAAGTTTATTCATAGAGAAAATGCTCAATAGTGGTTGTGCAGAGCCAAAGAGGCGCACCCCCCAGAGCACTGAGTCCAGCGCCGGGAGACCCAAAGCCCCAGGCGCCCAAAGAGACCCCAAGAGCGAAGGCACCAAGGAGGGGCCAGCCCCGGAAATCGGACCCCCACCAAGGGAGGAGAGACGGCCCCGAGGAAGTCCCCGAGCCACTGCCATGCCGGCGCCCCGGGGAGCCGCGGGGACAAGTCCGCGGGCTCCGCCGGCAGCCGGCCACCCTGAAGTAAGGCCGGGCACCAAACACCGGCCCCCCCCACGGCACCGACTGAAATGCCCCGGCCCCACAGAGCACCGAAACACGCCCCGTTCCCCTGCACAAAGCCTCGGCGACCGGCCGCAACACCCAATGCGACCGCGCCACCCAGGAAAAACACACAGGCGGCCTTACCCATAGCCAGGGCCAAAAGCGTGGCCCCACCCCACCAAGACCAATGCCACCAGCGCGCAACGCAACACACCTCGCACAGAAACAACCCAAGAGCAGAAAAGCCGCTCGGCGCCCGACCGCAAAAGATTGGACTGCAGCTGGCGCAACCATCCCCCCCAGCAGCCCGCGGGCAGCGCAAAGCCAGAGCGGAGCGAACTAGGGTGCTCACCCACTGGACGAAGCCAGAGCAGCACAATCGCGTCCGCCGCACCCCCCGCCGCCCGCACCAGCCTCCGACACGCGGCAGAAGCAGCCACGCCGCCAGACCCCTGACGCGCACTGGCCAGAGCCACTTCACCCCCCACCCGCCCCGCAGCCACACCCGCCGCTATCAGCGGGAACAAAGCAGCTCCATCATGTCTCCAAGTGTGAAAACCCACCCAAAAACCCAATTAGCGCAGCCAGCACATCCACACCAGCCCCCCAACACCACCCCCCGCCGGAGCCGCCCTGACCCCCACACACCACCGATGAGCCACCAGCAGGACCCCCACCCAACGGGCCCGCCCGCCCCCAGAGAAGACAGACATGCCAATCCCCCCAAAGAAGAAAACAAAAATAATTAAATGCGACAGTGGACACCAGACACCGACCCGCCCGCAGCCGCTTCCCCCACCAAAAAAAATAAATAAATAATTTTAAAAAATCCTCTATGCAAGAGGAGAAATGCAAACGGAAAAACCAGAGCCCAAAACAAAACCCAAGACCAGCACTTCACCACGCCGTGCAGCTCTCCTCCTCCCTGAACCGATACCACAAAACCGGCATCGGAAAAAACATCGAAGCAAAGGCACCGCAACCGAAAATCCCCCAACAACACCCAGCCCCCCCCCCCCGAAGGGAATCCAGTCCTGGGCCCCAGGGATCCGAAGCCTCAGGGACGCCCAACCCCCAGACAGGAGCCCCAGCGAGGCCCCGCCGGCCGGGGCCCACGGAGAGGCTGCCAGGGATGAGCCAGCAGCCACCCGGGCATCCACCCCCAGACCCCGAGCTCCAGCAGTGCACCGGCGAGCCGCGACGCCAGCCAGCGGAGGGAGAGCAGGACGGGGGGAATGGGCTCCGCGCTTAGCAGAGACTTGAGATGTATTTGGGAGAGGGTGTGGTTGAGACCCCAACCTGGGAGAGAAAAATAAATAAATAAATAAAAATAAAAAAATCACTCACAATCTCAATCATGCCTTCCCTCCCTAGTGCCCCCACTCGCACCACAGAAGAAAAAAAACGCGGACACATATTCACACATAACACTCGCATTCAATAATACCAGGACCAAAGACCCGGCAGCACCTGTTGTTGGTCCCAGGACTATCGGATGACCCAATAAGTGAACCTAAAATCCGGATGGGGGGAGGGGAGCGGTGACACTGCCATACCAACCCATCTCATTCCTGCTTCGAGCCCGGCCCCCCACCCCTCACACAGACAACCCCCAGCAAGAGCCCCCCCCCGGGACTGGGGCCCACCCATCCCGCGCAGGCCACCCAACCAGAACCGCCCCCCCCCCCAAAAAAAATACTTCAACCAGGCACTTCATGCCCCTCCTTCCAACCTTCTTTGGGGAGAGGAGAGGCGACACCCCCGCCACCGGCAGGCCACCTAGGCCCCACAGCCGGCCCCAGCCAAAACCACAGACCAGGTGGCTCAGTCTTCCTCCAGGCCCCAGACTCCGGGTGGCAGCCAGAGAACAGGGGTGTGAGAAGACCCCGATCCTCCCTGGGCCTGCTCAAATGTGGTGTTGTTTCGTGTTGCTCTCAGATGTAATCAAAACTGGGAACACCAACAGGGGGTGTCCGGGACAGTCCACCCCCCCCCCCCCCTCCGGGATATAGATGGTGCCAGTGCATCCCCCCATTCGACAACCCTGAACCCTCAATGTCTAGATTATGAGAGGGGATGGAGGAGGCCGACCGTGGTGAGGCCCATAAAATAAGCCCCCCAGGTGGCCTTGACCCCCACCCCCCAGGAAATACCCTACATAGATGTGTGATGTGAAAATAATGTAGATGGAAGTGTCTAAAATGCAAAATAAAATTGGGGTGGGGGACATCATTAGAAGGTGGGGCCCTCCAGTAATGACCCCCTCCCCAAAAACCTACATGTGTGGCAGAGTGATGGAGCAGGCACAGGGAGGATTTCGGGGATTGGGAGCAAAGGACTGGGGTGCTTACTGCAATCTCAGGGAACCAGCTCCCCCGCTGACTCCAATAGGCACCCCCATTCCCTGAGAGCCCCTCCGGAGAGGGGGGCCCCACCAGTCCCACCACTGTAACCCGGGGGCCAGGGACCGGCAGCATGACCCACCAGCCAGCCTGGCACAGGGCTGACACCACCAACCTCCCCCCATCCTGTCCATCCTCAAAAAAAAAAACAATTAATGATAATAAAAATTAAAATAAATAAAAATAAATAAATGAATAAATAAGGGAGGGGGACAACCCCGGCCAGCCAGCCCACGTGCAACACACAGAGCCCTTATCCCGGATAAAGCCCCACCAGGGGACAGCACGGACCAGGACCAAGACAGGGAGCCAGACCCGAAGCCCTTCTGAAATCCTCTTGCCTCTATCACTAGCCAAACACCGAGCAACCCTCCACTCCCAAACCGCCTCCGCGCATGATGCACCGCACACCACCAGCATCCGTCCCAACAAAGCGAAGCCACACACCCCGGGGGACATCCCAAAGGGGCCCCATGACGCCCGCAACCAGCCCACGACAGACACACATGAACCCTGGCCGCAGGCGCGACCACCCATGCACCCCCGCAGGACGACGCAACCACACCAAGCGCCACGGCCAACCACCACAAAAGAACCGATGTCCGGTTGACCTGTATAGTGCACTATGTGGAGGATTTTGTATTGTATTAATCGTAAAATTGGGGTTTCTAGTCATGTTAAAAGTTCTTAGACATATCTGAGCCCAGATGTGTTGTTCAAAACTGACTGATAAATCCTCCTCCCATTTAGCAATAGGAAGAGATATTGTATCATCCAGTTTATTCAGTGTAAGGGGTTTAACTCTAGAAATTAATATATTAGTTGGAATTTTTAAACCTCCATCAATATGCTTAAATTTATTTCTAATTATAGCTTTAATTTGCTCATATTCTAAGAATTTATTTTTGTTAATGCCATATTGCAAATTTAATCTAACAAATGTGATAAACTCTGTACCTTCAAATAAATGATCCAGATATGTAATACCTTTATTCTTCCAGTACAGAAAGTTTATCACATTATTGTTTTGTAGAATCTCAGGGTTATTCCAGATGGGTGTACGACTGCACGGGATAAGTGATGACTTCATTATTTTTAGAAATCATTTTAATTGAGGCTACCCTACCTATACCTATAATATAGGTATACAAATATACCTATATTTGCAGCTTTAATGCTCTAAATATCAGAGCTCTAAAAGTATTCAGATGTTCATCAAGGACTGAGGTTCAGTTCAGTTTGTATCATCCTGTCTGGAATTCTAATTCAGAACAAAACTACACTGAGTCAGTTTATTTCATTGCTTCTCTACGAACGCAGTGAGATAACGAATAAAACCAAGTCATTATATCTGCATAGAATTGATAGTCTGAATAGTTTTCTAAGTTATTTTATTTCATTTAAGAAAAGAAATGACTTTACTCTTCCACTTAACTACAATCTAGTACCTGTACTTCTTAGTTGTACTTAAGTAACTAAGTTCAATCAGTAGTTTTAACAGCTCTGATTGCTGATCAAGCTCTGCACTGGTGGCAGCATGATGCTGCAGCTTCCCTCTCATCAGAGAACGTTCCTGGAGCTGGTTGGACGTCCTGAAGCTTCTTTTCTGCAGCTGAACTTCTCAATTTCCATCTATCAGAGATTGATGATGTTTAAACATGATTATAGCAGCTAGTAACAGATGACTCACCTTGGATCTGCTGCTCCAGGATCATTACTGAATACAGGAGGATGATCTTTGGACCGGTCACTCTTCATAGAAACACAGCTGAGTGATGGAGACTCTGCTCTGTTCTCCTCTGTGTTCCTCCAGATGTTCCTCTGTGTGTTCTGGCCTGAAGCCCATCTAAGAAGGAAACAAAGACGCTTAGTTAATAGGGATGGAACGGTTTATGAAAACCGTCCGAACTGTTCGGTTCGACTGTCTCGGTTCGGTTCGCGTGTGTTTCGTTCGGTTCATGCGCTGCTCCTTTTTCTCATAGGCGAAGCGTTTACACTCCAGAGCAGAAGGTGGCGGTACTGCGACCAAAGCCAACCACCAGTAGTAAACAAGAAGAAGAAGAAGTGAAGCAGCGTAGCCGGGTGTAGCAGAAAGAATCAGTTGTTGTGGAGAATTGTGTGGGTATGGCGAGTGGGAAAGAACAGGAGTTGGAAGACGCGCCAGCAGCACTTTATAGGTCTGCTGTATGGGACCACTTTGCATTTAGAGTGACCTACGATGACGGCGGGAAGAAAGCTGTGGATAAAAACAGTGTGTAAGCATTGTGCAAGACGTGTTGTTTATGCTAACAGCAACACGACCAAAGTAGGGTGGCCAGATGTCCGATTTTAGGGAGGACAGTCCGGATTTTCATTGCACTGTCTGGCGTCTGGCACCGCATCCAGCAGGATGTGTATTTGTCCTCCTTTACCTCCAGATTCCACATATTCCTTCAGCGCTCCGCTCATGTATGTCGTGCCGAGTACTTTTCTGTCATGTAAATCAATGAGAGCTGTTCCACATCCTCCGCTACTCCTCCGCACGTCTCTGTCCACATATGTCTTCTCCGTCCTTCACCGTCAAAATATGAAACTGAGCTATTTTTTGCTTCGCTCCAGTCAGTCCAGATCAAGACCTGCAATTGCAATCGCACCAAACAGGAAAAAAGAATGTCGAGAAGACCTGGTTTGTCAAATTAAATTATAGTAAAAACTAGGGGTGTAAATCACATCCATCATGGTGATTCGATTCAGTATCGATTTCCTGACCCAACGATTCGATTATTTTCGATACTCAAGAATACACCACGATTCGATTCGATTAATTGATTAATCAATTAATTTTTTTTAATTTATTTTTTTAGACCTTACAGGCTAAGTTTCAAGTTTGAAATAAATCAATGAAAGCTGTAATATCGTTATGCATTTTATTTTAGAAACAACAGCAAATAACAGAAGTAGAAAAGTTGCATGTAAAAATACTGCAAAAATACTGCACTAAATCATTGTAATGATTGCAATTCAATACCTCAGCTCCAGACGTCAACGCCCCCTTGAGAGATGCTCCGCTGCTCCTCTCCCAAATTGTAGTTGTTTTGTTTTTATGACCGAAATTGCAGAAAACAACTAGTTAAATTTGACCTGCAAGAAGAGCGAGGTGCGCGAGAACGCTCGGACCCTTTTTGCACCTGGACCTCCGCTCTTTTTGGCCCTCATGTCCCTCCGTCGTCGGACTAAACTCTCCACCACTTCCTCGCCGCCTCGGCCGTATCTAGACCCACAGCGTGTACCACAGACCACGCTTCAATATTAAGCATAATTTAAAAATGTCTGTGTCAAGCTTACAGCAACACACTGCTGTAAGAGTATAACCAGGTGGGAGGGCAAAATAGGTTTAGCGCCACCGCAGCCCGGGAGGGAGAATTACGCCCAGGAGCAAATGGATAAAAATAGACCGGAGGGAAAAAAAAAACATGAATCGATTCTCTTGCGGACGTGTCGATGCATCGGATCGTAGGCTGTTGGATCGATGCATCGATACAAAACGATTATTATTTACACCCCTAGTAAAAACAGATCAGTAACTAGAAATTAGAGCATAGTTCGTATATATATTAACAAAAACTAAGAGCAATTAATTAAATAATTGGATGCAGACTATTGGTGCTTCAACAGACCAGGAAGAAGTTGTGAGATTCTAGAGCGCATCTCACAACGTTAAAAGAAAATTCTTATTGCAGGAATGGGTGAAGAGATGATGAGTTTGGAAGCAGAGAACAGAGTTCATACAAACTATATAATCCTATTTATCCCTGTTACAAAAATCCACAACAGAAAGAAAATATTTGGACAGAAAATGAACATCTGCTGGATGATGATGGGGAGTTTTTTTTAAATATGTCTTATTAAATTAAACGTTCACAGGGTTTATACATGAATAAGGAACTCTGATTTAATCCTCTTTTAATGCTATTAGAAATAATTTTAATGCCATCAACAAGTATCATGTACACAATTTATTAGTTTACATGAAATAAGGAGCTGTAAACAAAGTTTCAAGTTTATATGTATATAGTGAGTGTGTCACGGTTTGTTTGGGTGTTTTTATGAGGACCCAAATGCAGAGGTTGAGAGGCAGGGGTGACTTCTTAAAAGGTTTAATGGAGATCAGGCAGCAAAAACAGGAATCCAAAAATCCAACTGAAAAATGTTAAACAAAAACAGGTATCCAAAAAATCCGACATAAAAATCAAAAACAAACCAGAACCATGGAGACATCAGGGGAAAACCATCAAGGAGCCAGGGTGAGAAAAGGTAAGACGAGGAATCAGCAAAGAGGGACTGCAGAGGGAGTGTATTTATGTCTGACTGAACAAAGGTAGAGCTAATGAGCTGATAGGGAGCAGGTGTGACTAGAGCTGATGAGGAAGCCAAGGGAAAAGAACATAAGGGGGCAACAGAGGGCAGACAGAAAAACCTAAGCAACTTAAATGAATACAGACACATCAATAAAGCTAGAAAACAAGAAAAACCTGGCTAAACTTGAAACTGAAAGCTTAAAATCACATGTGGGGTTCCCCAAGGGTAAATTCTGGGTCCCCTCCTATTCAATATCTACATAATCCCTCTTGCTCAGTTAATAAAAAACAACATCAGCTACCATACCTATGCAGACAACACACAGCTTTACATCACCATGTCACCAGGTGACTATGAACCAATTCAAGCACTGAGGAAATGCTTAGAAGAAATCAATGCCTGGATGTGCCATAATTTCCTTCAACTGAATAAAAACAAAACTGAAGTAATAATCTTTGGACCAATAGAGGAGAGATCTAAAGTTAGCACACAGCTTCTGTCGCTTCAGCTAGTAACCACTGATCAGGCCCGAAATCTAGGTGAAGTGCTGGATTCAGACTTGAACCTCCAAAAGCATTTAAAGACAATTACAAGGTTGGCTTTCTATCACCTGAAGAACATTTCCAGGATTAAAGGAATAATGTCTCAGCATGATCTGGAAAAACTAATCCATGCGTTTATTTTTAGTCGAATTGATTACTGCAGCGGTGTTTTCACAGGTCTGCCTAAAAAGTGGATCAGACAGCTGCAGCTGATCCAGAACGCTGCTGCCCGTGTCCTCACTAAGACTAAGAAAGTAGAGCACATCACCCCAGTTCTAAAGTCCTTACACTGGCTCCCTGTATCTCAGAGAATAGACTTTAAAATCCTTCTGTTAGTCTATAAATCTCTGAATGGCTTAGCACCTAAATACATCACAGACTTGCTATCAGTGTATCAACCCTCCAGACCACTCAGGTCTTCTGGCTCCAGCCTGCTCTGCAGACGTAGAACCAGAACTAAACATGGAGAAGCAGCATTTAGTTTCTATGCTCCACTTATCTGGAACAAACTTCCAGAAAACTGTAAAAGTGCGGAAAGCCTGAGTTCCTTTAAATCAAGACTAAAAACACATTTGTTTAGGATTGCCTTCAACTGTTCTAGATAAACAGTTCAACTAAAACATATTTTCTTTAATCCAACTGTTTTTAATATTCTTTTTTTTGTTTCTGCATTTTTTATTTTATTTTATTTTTTTTATTTTATTTATTTATTTATTTTTTCCTACTTGCTTTGATTCTGTTTTATCTTCCTGTATTTTAATCATGTAAAGCACTTTGCATTGTCTTTGTACTGAATTGTGCTATACAAATAAATTTGCCTTGCCTTGCCTTGCCTAATGGGTTCTGGAGCTAGGGAAACTGGAACGCTAATGGGTTCTGGAGATGATGGCGGTGGCAGGAAAGGGAAAAGATCTTCCCTCTCCCCATAAAAGAAGGTCCACAAGTGAGACTCCTCAATATGGGGAGCTCTGACTGTGGGGGGTGCAATTATGGAAGCTGTACTAAATCTCCCAACCCGAGAATCTAGCTGTTGGTCATGGAGGTAACGACTGAAGCCATAGGGGGAACTGACCTGGTTATAAGAGGGACTGAAACAGGAGTCAGGCTGACCCGCCGGAGAGGGAGTGGGGGCGACAGGCTGACCCGCCGGAAGGAGTGCATGAAAAGATAAAAAATTAAGGCAAAAAATAGACAACACCAAAGATATTCTATGTTACATCCCCAAGTTGGATGTTTTTGTTCTTGCATCCAATTAACACCTTGCTCTGTTTTAGGCTCCACCTTTAAGACTGGCTACTGCTGCTTCCTGAGTCTCAGTCCAATCAAGATCACCAGAAGACTATTTAAGGCCTGTGAAGCAGTACTTCAGGGCCTCTGAGCCATTTGTCTGCCATAGACCTCTGTATTCCTTGTTGAATCTAATGTGCTGTTAAGTAAACCTGCAGGGGAGAGCTGCCGTTTTGTTTAACCTCAGTTGCCTCCTGTTTATGTTATGGTTAGGTAGGTTATTTTGTAGGTTTGTACATCTTGGTTTCATATTGAGTTAGGTAAGTTCGTTTTTCTTTTTCTTTAGGGTTGTTTGTTTGTAATTTTGGCTTGGGCTCTCCCTGAAGCCTTTTCCATAATCTGGTCAAGAGAAATAGCAGAATAAACTTTTCAAATGCCCTTTTGACTCCTTCATTCGTTGTCTACATTTATGTTGGTCCCTTACCCCCGCTAGACTCAACCAGGGGACGTAACATAAATTGGAGGCTTGTCCGGGATCAAATCCGGTCCACAAAATTTCTGGACAGTGAATGTTTTGGAGTAGTTTGTTTTTTTTCTTTGGTGTATTTGGCACCGTTTGAAGAAATATGGCAGCCCATAACTTCAATCTAAGTGCGTTCTTGAAAAATCCTTCTTGGGAGGAGTTAAATGTGTGAAGAAAACAAGATCTGTTTTCTAT